TCTATCTCTGATTCCTTCCCATGGTTCCTTCCTATGCTACTACCACCATATATTTTCCACAAATAACATGCTCATGTAAATAATGTGTCCACACATATGATTCACAAAAATGATGATATTCAGTCAACGGTCCTGGCATGGTACAGCTGGAACAACATGTAACATTATCTGTGTAAAAATACAGCGCTCTCTGCACATTTTTCGTGACTGCTTTCCCACCTCATCCCTTATAGCCCAGGGCTAAGAATGAGTCCCCACGGTGGCTGGAGCTTTGAGGTCTCCCTAGCCCTCATGGATTCCCCGCAGCCCTGCCCACACCTCTCTAAATCTGATTAAACTCTCTGCCAGTATCCCATTTGAGTTGCTCGGTCATTTTTTCATCACAGGAAATAAACAATTTATTCAAAACATACAGGACCATGATGAACGCTTGAACTCAACATACCGTGCCTTCATCAGCAAATCTCCTGAGATAGTCTTTAAGTTCCGTCTTCAAGTCATTATATTCTAAATCAAGACAACAAAAAAGCACTTAAACTTTAGGTAAGCCATTTGCTTTTAAAAAAAAATATTTCTTTACCACTGACATTGAAGTATGTTAATAGTTTAAATCAATTTTTTTCTTAAATGAAACCTGTACAGAAACCTGTACCCAATTTCTCCCAAATTCTGATCTCTACAACTTAAAAAAAAAAAGAGGAAAGAAAGATATCCTGACTCCCAATAAGATAACTAAGGATTCTGTAAAAGTATTTCCTATTTCTATGGAATTCCATTACGTGAAATAACCTTAAACTAATCAAACATTCCATTTTAAAATTCATTCATCCACTTAAGTTTATATTAAGTCCAGGGCACCTTGAGGGCTACAAGCAGCTTCTGTCCTGAAAAACCTTTTAGTCCAAAAAAGATGAAAAAGCCAATTAAGCAAATAATTACAAATAAAAGAAGCGTTAAATGTCACAAAAGGGGCACAAAAGTGGTGGCATCTGAATGGAAACTGGCTAGAATGGGAATCAGCTGGGCAGAGAAGGGGGAGATGTCAAAAAGCCTGTGACCAAGGGCTTGGGATATTTTCTGCTCTGGTGGTTTCCCGGGGCCCCTTCAGGCAATCTCAGAACTGCCCAACAGACAACACGATGGGTGCAATGTGCCGTGGGTAGAGACAGAAAGGCATATCCGAGTTTCTTTATCCCACCTCTACCCTTCACCACAACAGCTCCCGCTGGGGGTTCTCAAGCCTGTCCCTCTTCTAGCATCTAACCCTGACTGGCAATAGCCCTGGAATAGCCCACACTACGACAAGGACTTAGCAGTACTGTAGTTGAGGCCTACTGTACCATTGAGATTTTTAACTTTCTTCGTAGTAAAGTAAAATAATAGGTGCTTATTATGCTCCTTGTACACATCCTTTTCAATAGTGAAGGAGACTGAGAGCTTCACGACTTCTCCCCCACACAGTATTTACCACAGATCAGTTCCACTTGCTGGACTCTATTCATACTGTTCAGGGTGTCCATTAAAGGGTCTCGCCGATCGGTTGCCTGCTCAGTCTTGCCCTTGTTTTCATAAGCCAAAACGGTGTCATATTCATCTGCCAGGAACAGGACATCTAGATCCCCGTACATTTTCTTTGAGAAGTAAAACCAGTTTTCTCATTAGAACTGTGTGTCACTGTCAAAAAGTCAACTTTGCAAGAATCACCAAGAACTTACACACGGTTCCTAGAGGGCAGCTAGGAAAAGCTACGCCCTTCAGCACAGAGCCGCTTGAATGCTCCATTCCTCTTGCCAAATCTTTCAGAAATCCCCTGTCCTCACAGGTGTACAGTCTATGAGATCTTTATTCAAAACCCAGACTTACTGTAACTTTCAAGCAGTTTGTTTCAAGTAACTCTCTGACATAAAAAAGATAATCACTGTGATGACTATATAAAAAAATCTTGTGTAATTCTTAATTTCTTCCATAAATTTGATAAGTATTCAGACTACAAGTCCTATCTGATAAATCTGCTTAATACGAAAATGTTAAAATTCCCTACACTCCTTACATCAATTCTATCAATACACTTCCCAGGTGTTCTTATTTCAGACATCAGTCCACGAAACACACTAATGTTGAATTTGAGCAGGTACTCACCATACAGTCTTTGCAGGTACACAGCTTGCTACGCCAGTTCAAGGGCCAATAGGTGGCACCATCTTTCTTTATAAGCTGCTTAGCTTTAAGTTGCTGAAGTCTGCAGCGCAACTGTGACTCTGCGTTGAGATTCTGATTCTTAAATGCTGTCTGAAATCAAGTGAAGTTTCAAAGTGTGTTTTTAAGATGGTCACAGTTTTCCTAGCTAACATTTTGTAAAAATATTTGTTTAGGCATAAGGTACCACTGAAATCCAGAGACACCAAGGTTACGGATTCAGTTTTGCCTAAAGGTTGTTTGTTTTATGGTTCATGCTTCACACATTACCTGGAGACCAGCCTCCGAGCTGGAGCTGGTACACGGCTCACTAGTCGGCTCTGCTTTAACGTCCGTGACAGCATCTCTGCCACTTCCTGTGAGGTCCTCTTTGAGGACACTCTCTTGATGATCTCCATTTTCAGTTTTGATAACTTCCTGATCACCTTTTCCATCAACATTCAGCACCAACCCATCGTCTTCGGCAGGTATTTTGGTTACTGTGGGTACAAAAGAAGAAGAAAAGACAGCAAATACACTGATCTATCAGGCAGTTGAATCACTTAGCTCCATTAGAAAGTTATTTTAGATTCTGTAAAAGAAGAAAAGCGACCTTAATGTCTGGAAGGAAAAGTAAGTAAAAAGCAAATAGCAGCACTTTTTCAAGATATGCCTGCTCCATCCAGAGTTCAAATAATTCAACAGTTCATTGAAAATATGAATCACTATTTAGGCACATGATACGTAAAGAAGGAAAAAAAACACCGTAGAAGTTACAGAGAGATGGGATAACTCAAGAATTAAGCGGCAGAGGGAAGAGATTTAAATGTGAACGTAGATAGAAGGGTAGTTTAGGGAAAAAAACTTATCTTTATGGGAAGAGGAAATTTAAAAGGATGGGTAAAACAGCAGAAAAACTGTGAGAAAAGAAATGACAACAGAGCTCATACTGCGTGGTGACATTTCCAATGAATGGGAGAAGAGGTTTTTTCTGATGGGAAAGGAGAAAGGAGAACACAATTAAGAAAATCCAAGGAATGAGAAATACATGCAGGTCCAATGTCTATGGAAAAGGAGAGAGATGACTGGAAAGAGTGTGGACACAAAGAGAGCACCAAGTTTAAGGATTTTAGGCAAATCAAAGGTGTATGATGAGATCTTAGGTGTGCTGTGCTGCTGTGGTCTGCGTGGGAATGGGGAAGTGTTCCCTTAAAACGAGGTGAGCAAGAAACCAATAAAATAAAATATTTAACGTATCAAGACCATTCATTATTAATTAGTTGTTTGGGTCAATTTGCCAGTATATAGTAAAGGCTCTAGATTAAATTATAACTAATTATCCCCTCCTCAACCAGCAGCATGCCTTCCATTTAAAAACAACTTCTATTTTTCTTTCAAAGCCCCATTCAAATCAGCCTTTTCCATTTTCTCTAATTCTGGTCCCCTCCACAGTCTGTGCCATGCCATTTAAGTACACATTTGTTCTCAGGCCCCTCCCAACCAATCCAGAAGCACTCTGTAGAGAAAGAATATGCCTCATTCTTCCTTCTTACACCTCAGAATCCAGTTAAAAGTAGTTCTTGAAAATTCTGGATTGAACACACAAATTTCACAAGCACAAGTCCTACCTGCCAAGTGTGCAGCATAAGCCCACAAGAAAGAGCAGTGCTTCATGCAAGCCTGGCACACCATCTCCTGGAAATCCCCACTCTCCGGGGGAGTGGCACCAAGATGCTGTCAGGACAGAACACAGAGCATTTTTCTTGTGATCTCCATGTGGTCTAAAATGCCTATTAGTATTTATTTTTAAAAATACATTTTACTGAAATATAATTTATGTACAGTGAAATACACAAATCTGAAGTGACATGGATCAATGCATAAAATGTCTATTATTTTATAAAGAAATATTGCAATACCCACTGCCATCAGTCGCTTCTGAGTCATAACAACCCTATAGGAAAGAATAGAACTGCCCCATAGGGTTTCTGTGGCTGTAATCTTTATGGAAGCAGACTGCTTCCGTGCAGCGGCTGACTTTCTGGTTCGCAAATGAGCACTTTAACCACTGTGCCACCAGGGTTCCTTAAATATTGCAAGAGTATACTAATAATATCTTTATATTTTTAGAATAGTTATGATGTAAAATATAACACAATTAAAAAGGAAAAAATTCTTTCATCTTTTTATAAAGTAACATAACAGCTTAAGATAAAAGCAGGCTTCCTCACCCTTCCATGGAACCAGTCTTCACAGACCACACACTGGATCATCTCATCTGGAACCTAACAGAGAAAGACAGTGCTGGTTGGCTAATGATTACAGTGGATACTGGGACACAGAGCTAACTGTGGCATACAGAAAGATCAAATGGGATAGGGCAACAGTGCATCAGAGCCAAAGGAATGTGTTCAATGTGAGCTGGTGTGATGGAAGGGTTACAATGACATAAGCACTCTGCATATATCAAAGGTCTTTCACATCAGTTACCTAATATCTAGTTTGAAAACTCTGTAAGGATGCTATTCTCATTTTTCAACTAAGGCTCTGGGAGGGAATGTGAACTGACCAATGTAGAATGCGGTTAACTGGGACTTTTTACCACACCATGCTGCCAAGAAAACAGAAATGGAAACATTACATACACGTTCTTGATAATATGGACAGCAACAACTTTTTTCATTTGAATTAATTACATAATTACATGCTAACCCTAGGAAAATTATACACCAACAGACAGAGACAATTTTTTCAATGATTTTACTTTTGTTTCCAGATTTCATATCTACTGATTAACATTCCAGTGTTGTCCTGTCCTTTTCCTATTGTGCTTTCTGCCTTGATCACTTTATTCAGCATCTTATTTTCTTCTTTCGATCCAACAATGTTATAAGTAACACATTGTCCCATATCTTATAATATGCAGATTTGGTTTTATTTTTGTTAACTCAAAGATATATTCCATTTGTTCCTCTATATAATTTGGTTCAGTTTCTCTAAACAGAAGAATTCCTCAAATCAGTAACATAAACAAAACTCAATTCAATCAAAACACAGGCCAAGGAAATGAAGAAAAAAAAAATTCAGAATGAAGCTTATTAGAAATGCCCCACAGATTTCTGAAAAAATGTACAACTTCACTTAGGATCAGAGAGAGAGAAATTAAATACTGTCATTTGTCTATCAGACTGGCAAAATTTGAAGAAACAAGTATAGGATTGACAAGAATAGGACTGATAAAAGCAGAGTGTTAGGGGAAGACACACTGTCATATACTGTTGATGGCTTAACTCTTTTGGCAAACATGACCACAATTTTTTTTCAGAGGTGGTGGTTACTCTGCCCCCCACCTTCTATTTGTTGTTGTTAACATATACAGCAAAACATATACCAATCCAAGTTCCTACATGTACAATTCATTGACTTGTGCAACTATTCTCACTCTCTTTTCTAAGTTGTTCCTCTCTTAATAACATAAACTCACTACCCTTTAAGGTCCCATTCTAATCTTTTTGTTGTGATTGTCTAAGTAAATCCTAAAGGAGCATAATACTGAAGGCAGACCTTTCATTATTATTATTATTGTTGTTGTTGTGTTGTTATGTGCCATCGAGTCAGGCCCGACTCATAGCGACCCCTCCTTGGGTTTCCGAGGCAGTATCACTACGGAAGTAGGATTGCCCAACCTTCCTTCCGAGAAGTGGCTGGTGGGTTTGAACCGCCAGCCGTCTGGTTAGCAGGCAAGTGTCTTAGCCACTATGCTACCAGAGCTCCCATTATTATTATTAGTCAAGCTAAACTACTATTTGGTTTTAAGACGACTTTAAGGTTTAAGATTTAAAGATTATCTCAGGGCAATAGTTTCAACGGTTCATCTATCCTCTGTGGCTCCTGAAAGTCTGGAGTCCATGATAATTTAAAATTATGTTCTGCATTTTCTCCCTTTTGATTAAGATTCTTCTACAGAATCTTTGATCGAAATGTTCAGTAATGGTAGCTGGGCACCATCCAGTTCTTCTGGTCTCATGGCAAAGGAGGCAGATATTCATGGAAATAATTAGTCACACATTCCATATCCTCCAATTTTTAACTCTCCTTCTTCCTCTGTTGCTCCAGGTGAATAGAGACCAATTGTGCCTTGGATGGCCATATGCAAGCTTTTAAGACCCCAGGTACTATGCCACGAACTTGGAGGTAGAATAGAAGAACTAAACACATTATTAGGCCAATTAACTGGGATGTCTCATGACCCCAAACCTCCAAATCAAGGAACCAAATCCCATGAGGTGTTTCGTTGTACATAAGCAGTCTTAGCAGCTACTTTTTGTTTCCCTGTCATTATAACTATATGTCACACTTTTGCCAATTACAGGTGTACAACTTATTGACAGCAATTACAATAATAGGCTGTGCTAACCTACTGAGTTGGATATGACTCGACAGAACATAACAACAACAACAACAACAACAACAACCTACCCTTAATCAATGTGATTTTTCTTTCACAGTTAAACCCTTTTCTCCTTTCCTCCCACTCCTACTAACCATTAATTACCTTTGGTCTCTATGTATTTGCTTTTTCTTTTTATATAAATGAAGTCCTACAGTATACGTCCTTTAGTGATTGGCTCCTTCCACTCAGTATAATGTCTTTGAGTGCCACCTGCACTGTAGTATACATCACAAGACTTTATTTCTCCTACTGGCTGAGTAGTATTCTATTGTCTGTATATACCATATTTTGTTTATCCATTGATCTGCTGATGGGCAGTTAGGTTGTTTCCACCTTTTGGCTATTGTGAATAGTGCTATAATGAACACCAATGTACGAGTTATTTTTTGAGTCTCTACTTTCAAGTCTTTTGGGTATATAAGTAAGAGTGGAATTGCTGGGTCACATGGTAGTTCTATTTTTAGTTTTTTGAGGAAACACCATATTGTTTTCCACAACTCTGTATGACTTTACATTCCCACCAGCAATGGATAATTGTTCCAATTTCTCACATCCTTGCCAATATTCCTTTTTTTTTTTTTTTTAAATTGAGCTCTGGTAGCACAGTGCCTAAGGCACTTGACTGCTAACCAGAAGGCTGGCGGTTTGAACTGTTTATTGAAGAGACTCTTCTCTCACCATCAAATGGACTTCTTGTTGTTGTTATGTGCCGTCAAGTCAGACCCGACTCATAGTAACCCCTCCTTGGGTTTCCGAGGCGGTAGCCCTATGGAAGTAGATTGCCCTATCTTCCTTCTGGTGGGTTTGAACCTCCAGCCTTCTGGTTAGCAGTCAAGTGCCTTAGGCACTATGCTACCAGAGGTTCCGTCAAATGGACTTAGCACCACAGATTTGTAGGTTTATTTCTAGACTCTTAATTCTATTCCATTAGCTTATGTGTCTACTATTATACCATTATATGGTAGTTAAGGTTGTTTGTCAACTTGGCTGGGCTGTGATTTTGAGTGGCTTGGCAGCTGTAATAGTTATTCCTCATGATACGACTGGATGTGGTTTAATCACCTCCATGGTGGAATCTGCTGTGAGCAGTTGAGGACTGGTTTTCCTATTTGTATAAAAGTGACTGTTGGAATTTTGACTGGGATTACGTGGAATCTAGATCGCTTGGGTAATACTGACATCTTTACTAAGTCTTTCAATCCATAAACACGGAACATCTTTCCATTTATTTAAGTCTTCTTTCATCTCTTTCAGCAGTGTTTTACAGTTTACATTCTATAAGTCCTTCACATCCCTGGGTAGATTTATTCCTAGGTATTTTATTCTCCTAGATGCTACTGTAAAGAGAATTGTTTCCCTAATTGCCCATTCAGATTTTTCACTGTCAATGTATAGAAACTCAACTGATTTTTTTTGTTAACCTTGAACCCAGCAACTTTGCTTAATTCCTCTACTAGCTCTAAAAGTCTTCTTGTGGACTCTCTGCAATTTATGATCACAATTTTTTTTAGAGAGAATATTGTTTTTACTGTTATTGTGGTTAGGTGCCATCAAGTCAGTTCCAATTCACAGATACACTATGTACAACAGAATGAAACACTTCCTGGTCCTGGGCCATCCGCACAATCATGGTTATTTTTGAGTTCATTGTTTTAGCCACTGTGTCAATCCATAGAATTAAAGGTCTTCCTGTTTTATGCTGATCCTCCACTTTACTAAACATTATGTCCTTCTTCAGGGACT